GGGTGGGGGAACAGACTAAGAAAAAGCCCTAAGAGAGGCTGGGAAAAAAATAATTAAAAAAAAGGTTAGAGCTGCGCCATCTGGAAAGCAGGAGGGCCTCCCCGGAGCCCAGCGCGCAAGGAGAGACGTGCCGCCACCATCACCATCCCCCCAGGCGGGTTTTGTGCTCTGCGTTCGAAGGCTGCCCCGTGGCCGAAGAGAAGCAGCAGGAGCAGAGACGGGAACCGTGTTGGCGTCCACGGCGAGGGGATGGGGGGGGGGGAGAGCAGGAGGAGGGAGGGCCCGTCCGCCCTCTCAGAGGTATTCTTGAAGAAAGTGCAGCAGCGTGATTTCGTAGTGCTCCCCGGACTCAGGGCAACGAATACTGTGTCGCTCGTTGGGATAGATCTGCGGGTGGAAGGGAGGGAAGAGAATGGTGTAAGTCTTACCCTCCGGGACAGCCACGGAGGGCGGGGGTCCCCTTTGGACAGGGGTCTTCAAACTTGGCCCTTTTATGACTTGTGGACTTCAACTCCCAGAATTCCTCAACCAGCATGGGGGAACTATGGCCCCTTCATGACTTATGGACTTCAACTCCCAGAATTCCTCAGCCAGCATGGGGGAACTGTGGCCCCTTCATGACTTCTGGACTTCAACTCCCAGAATTCCTCAGCCAGCATGGGGGAACTGTGGCCCCTTCATGACTTGTGGACTTCAACTCCCAGAATTCCTCAGCCAGCATGGGGGAACTGTGGCCCCTTCATGTCTTGCGGACTTCAACTCCCAGAATTCCTGAGCTAGCATGGGGGAACTGTGGCCCCTTCCTGACTTGCAGACTTCAACTCCCAGAATTCCTCAGCCAGCATGGGGGAACTATATCCCCTTCATGACTTGCGGACTTCAACTCCCAGAATTCCTCAGCCAGCATGGGGGAACTGTGGCCCCTTCATGACTTGCGGACTTCAACTCCCAGAATTCCTAGGCCAGCATGGGGGAAACTGTGGCCCCTTCATGACTAGTAGACTTCAACTCCCAGAATTCCTCAGCCAGCATGGGGGAACTTTGGCCCCTTCATGACTTGTGGACCTCAACTCCCAGAATTGCGTGGCTGAGGAATTCTGGGAGTTGAAGTCCACAAGTCATAAAAGGGCCACGTTTGAAGACCCCTGTCCTTGGACCTAGCTGGGGGGGGGAGAGAACCAAGGCCACAGGGAGAAACCCCCATCCCTTTGTTCTATCCTTGTCACCTCTCAGCCTCTTTAATCATCTATCTAGCATAGGTTGTCCCATGCTGGAACCGATCTCTTCTCCAGCTGCTGGGATCCTAAAATCTCCTAGCCTGGGATAGCAGCAATAGACTTATAGAGCGCTTCACAGTGCTTCACAGCCCTCTCTAAGCGGTTTACAGAGTCAGCCCGTTTCCCCCCAAGCAATCTGGGTCTTCATTTTACCGACCTTGGAAGGATGGAAGGCTGAGTCCACCTGGAGCCGGTGAGATTTGAACTGCTGGCAGTGGGCAGAGTCAGCCTGAAATGCTCCATCACTGGAGGTTTTTAAGAAGAGGGTAGCCCAGGGGTAGGCAACCTTGGCTCTTTTATGACTCGTGGACTTCAACTCCCAGAATTCCTGAGCCAGCCATGCTGAGGGGAAAGGGAGAGGTTTCCAAGCTGAGCCATGCTGGCTCAGAAATTCTGGGAGTTGAAGTCCACGCGTCATAAAAGAGCCAAGGTTGCCTACCCCTGGACTAGACAGTCACCTGTCTGAAATGGTGCAGGTTCTCCTGCTTGAGCCAGGGGTTGGACTAGAAGACCTCCAAGGTTCCTTCCAACTATTCTATTCTATTCTATTCTATTCTATTCTATTCTATTCTATTCTATTCTATTCTATTCTAATCCATTCCATTCTTCCATTCCTTATTCTATTCTATTCTACTCTACTCTACTCTTCCATTCCTTATTCTCTTCTCTTCTCTCTTCTAATCCATTCCATTCTTTCATTCCTTATTCTATTCTACTCTACTCTATTCTTCCATTCCTTATTCTATTCTATTCTATTCCTATTCCTATTCTATTCTACTCTACTATACCTTACCCTACCCTACTCTATTCTTCCATTCCTTATTCTATTCTGCTCTACTCTACTCTACTCTACTCTATTCTTCCATTCTCTATTCTCTTCTATTCTCTTCCATTCAATTCTCTATTCCATTCCATTCCAATCACTGTGCCATTACAGCTTTAGGATGCCACCAAAGAGATTGCAGGGTGCTCCAGGCATGCCGAACATCCTGGGACGATACCCCCCCCCCTTATTGTGATGGGTCTGCCCTAGCTATGACACCAAGACTTCATCTTCTCATTCTATACCAGCGTTTCCCAATTTTAGCAACTTTTAAGATGTGTGGACTTCAATTCCAGAGTAAGTCCTGGAGGCAAGGAGAAGATGCAGGCCAATGGTCGATGGGCCAAAGGTCTAACGGCGCCGAGCCGTGGTGGCGGCAGTGGTTAGAATGGAACATTGCAGGCTCACACTGCCCACTGCCAGCAGTTCGATCCTGAGCGGCTCAAGGTTGACTCAGCCTTGTATCCATCCAAGGTTGGTAAAAGGAAGACCCAGATTGTGTGGATGTGTGTGTGTGTGTGGGGGGAAATGCTGACTCTGTAAACCGCTTAGAGAGGCCGATCAACGCTAAAGAGCCGTGTCAGTTCTGGTAACTGTCCTTCCCACTCATGAATTTTGCAAAGTTTTCTTTAGCAAGATTTATTAAGGGGAAATGTGAAAGCGATACAAGAATTCCAGCTTGTAAATTCTTTTCAGTTTAGGAACCGTGAATCCAGGTATTTCTTAAGGCTGTGTTTGCTAACCGGGCAACCTTAAGATGCGTGGACTTCAATCCATTAGGTAACACCATCAGTGCTAGAAAGGAGTGGCGTTTTGCTTTGGGTCTGTGGCTTGCACTACCCATTGGAGCTAAGAGTAAAGAACAGCGCAACCAAGGAATCTCCAAAAACGCTCCCACCAACAAGGATAGGGCACGTCTGGTGAGCCCTGTACATAAACAGAGAGAATCTCCCCCCTTGAAGCACTGATAATGTTACCCAGCTGGGTCATGAAATGTCTGCAAGAAAACAACCAACTTCAGGGAGCACCAAGGACCCCGCAGTCATTGTCATAATCGTCTTCCTCCTCCCCCTCTCCCTTTCTGCAACACCCCCTCCCTTCTAAGTAAGTAAGTAAGTAAGTAAGTAAGTAAGTAAGTAAGTAAGTAAGTGAAGGAAGGAAGGAAGGAAGGAAGGAAGGAAGGAAGGAAGGAAGGAAGGAAGGAAGGAAGGAAGGAAGGAAGGAAGGAAGGAAGGAAGGAAGGAAGGAAGGAAGGAAGGAAGGATAAATACCAGTACCTTAGCTGGCAGAGGCCTGCACTTTAACAACTGCAGTTCTCCTCTGATGCCAGCGGGCAGTACCATGCCCTTCTCGTTTCCAGCACTCTTACGTACCTGTAGTTGATACGGTTTCCCAGCCCGGATTAGTTGGGAGATCAAGAAACTGGTATGGAAAAAGTGCACGTTTTCATCCAGAAACCCGTGGAGAATCAGCAAGCGGTTGGGCCTGGGAAGTAGAGAGAGAGAGAGAAAGAGAAAGAAATGATCCAGGGTAAGTGTCAACCGTCCCTACTTGATCAGTCAGGAAAGAAAGACTCCTGGCCCATGATTAGCCCAAAACATACTTTACCTAAAGCCGAAGTGGCTACCGAAGAGGCAAAGCTGTCGATTGAACCCAGCACTCTGGAGCACTATTCCTTTCTCACTATCTTTTCCAGGGTGGTGGGTGGTTTTTTTGGGGGGGGAGGGGGCAGGACATTTGATGCGCCTAACGAAGGATTAACAGTCTATATAGGTAATCCTCGATTTACAACCACAACTGCGACCTAAATTTCTCTGTGGCTAAGGGAGACAGTTGTTAAGTGAAAGGTCGTTCTACGACCTTTCTTGCTGCAACGGCCTAAGTGTGAAAAATTGTCACAGGTCACTTTTTTCAGTGCCGTTCTAACTTGGAACAGTCATTAAATGAAAGTTGTAAGTCAAGGAATATTTGCACAGAAATGCGTGCGTTCATCCAAGGCAAGCTTTCCATCTGCCACTGAACGCTGTAGTTTGCATCACCACACCTAACTGTCCGTCTCAATGGGGAGATAGGATAGAACAAAACAGAATAGAATATGGAGTAAATAGAATAGAATAGAATAGAATAGAATAGAATAGAATAGAATAGAATAGAATAGAATAGAATAGAATAAGGATTGGAAGAATAGAATAGAATAGAATAGAATAGAATAGAATAGAATAGAATAGAATAGAATAGAATAGAATAGAATAGAATAGAATAAGGATTGGAAGAATAGAATAGAATAGAATAGAATAGAATAGAATAGAATAGAATAGAATAGAATAGAATAGAATAGAATAGAATAAGGATTGGAAGAATAGAACAGAATAGAATAGAATAAGGATTGGAAGAATAGAATAGAATAGAATAGAATAGAATAGAATAGAATAGAATAGAATAGAATAAGGATTGGAATAATAGAATAGAATAGAATAGAATAGAGCTGGAAGGGACCTTGGAGGTCTTCTAGTCCAGCCCCCTGCTCAAACAGGAGAACCTACACCAGTGATGGCAAACATTTTAGAGACTGAGTGCCCAAACTGCGACCCAAAACCCACATGCATCATCGGGTGCCGGGTGGATGTGGCCTATTGGGTGGATGTGGCCCATTGGGTGGGCGTGGCTGCAGTGGTAACGGCAGACTGGGTGGGACTAAAAAGTTCAATCAGTCAATTCCAACTTTGCAAGATCTTTTTTTTCCCCGCAAGAAGTTGAAATTGACTGATTTAACCTTTTTCTTTTTTTTTTGCATATGGCGGCGAAGGCCTAAAGCAAAAAAGTTTTATAAAACCCAGCTGAAGGCCTAGGACTGGGGCGACGGCGCACGTGTCCACAGAGAGGGCTCTGAGTGCCGCCTCTGGCACCCGTGCCATAGGTTTGCCACCATTGACCTACACCATCTCGGACAGGTGACTGTCCAGTCTCTTCTTAAAAACCTCCAGTGATGGAGCACCCACGATTTCTGGTGGCAAGCTGTTCCATTGGTTGATTGTCCTCAATGTCAGGAAGTTTCTCCTTAATTCCAGATAGCTTCTCTCCTTGATCACTTTCCAACCATTGTTTCTCATCCTTCCCTCTGGTACTCTGGTGAACAGCCTGACCCCCTCTTCTTTGTGGCAGCCCCTCAGATACTGGAACACTGCTATCCTGTCTCCCCTATTTTTTCTTTTCTTTAGAATAGCCAGACCCAAACTCCCACAGCCGTTCTTCGTATGTTTTGGTCTCCAGGCCTTTGATCATCTTAATTGCTCCTCTCTGAATTTTTTTTTCCAAACTCTCAACATCTTTTTTGTGATATGGTGACCAAAATTGGCTGCAGTATTCCAGGTGTGGCCTTACTAGGGTTTTATAAAGCGGTACTAATACTTTGCGTGATCTTGATTCTATGCCTGTTTATGCAACCCAGGATTGTATTAGCTTTTTTAGTTGCTGCTGCACATGGCTGGCTCATAGTCAAGGGACGGTATTGTGAATCTGGTTGAGGGGGCCTCACCCTTATCCCCTTTCCTCTATGCCCCCATCTGATATCCCATAATACTCACTCATTGGGGAGTTTCTCGACATGCAGGGCCACTGAGCCTGCTTCGTAGCCTTGCTGGTTGTTCTCCGGGACGTCCATGTACCGCTCCGTGTATCCGGTATCGTAAGCCATCCAGACGGTGACGGGGGCTCCTGCTATGGCGACCTACGGGAGGCAAACGAAATAAAATCTAAAGAGCTGCCCCAAAGAAGAGGGAGTCAAGCTATTCTCCAGAGCACCCGAAGGCAGGACAAGAAGCAACGGATAGAAACTAATTAAGGAGAGAAGCAACCTAGAATATAAGGAGAAACTTCCTGACAGTTAGAACAATTAATCAGTGGAACTGCTTGCCACCAGAAGCTGTGAATGCTCCAACACAGGAAGTTTTTAAGAAGAGACTGGACAGCCATTTGTCTGAAATGGTGTAGTTTCCTGCCTGAGCAGGGGGTTGGACTAGATGACCTCCAAGATCCCTTCCAACATCATCATCATTATCATTACTAGTACTATTACTACTATTACTACTATTACTACTATTACTACCACTACCACTACCACTACCATTATTATTATTATTATTATTATTATTATTATTATTATTATTATTAAAATAAATCCAGAGCCAAGTCTTCTTGCCTCAAAACATACACACACATACCTGGCCAAACACCAAAACTGTTTGATAAAATTCACGGATGACTATTTGCAGATCCATTAGATAAAGAGAGGAGAATTTATCAGTTTCTTTTTATTTTTTTTCTAGCATCCAGCCAGGGTGGATTTTATTTTTTTATGTTTAGAACAGAATACAGAGCATAGAATAGACCAGAATATGGAATAGAACATAGAACAGAACATAAAACAGAATAGAATAGAGAATAAAACAGAATAGAATATAGAACAGAACAGAACAGAATAGAATGACAGAGTTGGAAGGGACCTTGGAGGTCTTCTAGTCCAGCCCCCTGCTCAGGCAGGAAACCCTATACCATTTCAGACAAATGGCTGTCCAGTCTCTTCTTAAAAACTTCCAGTGTTGGAGCACTCACAACTTCTGGTGGCAAGTCGTTCCACTGATTAATTGTTCTCGCTGTCAGGAAATTTCTCCTTAGTTCCAGGTTGCTTCTCTCCTTGATTCGTTTCCATCCGTTGCTTCTTGTCCTGCCTTCAGGCGCTTTGGAGAATAGCTGGACCCCCTCTTCTTTGGGGCAGCCCCTGAGATATTGGAAGACTGCCATCATGTCACCCCTGGTCCTTCTCTTCATTAAACTAGACATACCCAATTCCAGCAACTGTGGAATGACCACGGAAAATGTCTTTGGACAACACTGGCTCCCTCGGCTAGGAAATGGAGATGGGCCACCAGCCCTGGACAGGGGCAACTTTTTACCTTCTGAGCGGGGCCCAGCCAGCCAGCCAGCCTGGAAGGCTCACCTTGAAAACATGGGGCTTGTAAATCAGCCCCACAAGGGAAAGGAAACCTCCGTACGACCAGCCATGGATGGCAACGCGGCTGAGGTCGATGAACCCGTATTTCTCCGCGACGTAATGTAAACCTTCAACCTGGTCCTCGATCTCCACCTGGCCCTGAAGGGGATGGCAGAGAAAAAAAAGAAAGAAGAACAGAATAACAAAGAGTTGGAAGGGACCCTGGAGGTCTTCTAGTCCAACCTCCTGCTAAAGCAGGAACCTAGACCGAGAGGCGTATATACAAGGCAAGGAAAGGGATTTGGGAACAATTTTTAATCTATCAACATCTTTTTTTTTCCCTTCATTTTCTGACAGCCATCGAGCAAAAATCGATGCGAGGCAGGGGTGGGATTCAGCTGGTTTGCACCGATTCAGTAGAACCGGTAGCTAAATTTGGCTGAGTTCGGAGAACCAGCTGAACGCACACCGCTTCTGGAAGTCCGTTCTAGGCCTCGGAGGCCTGGAGGAGGCCTCCCAGGCCTAGAACGGCCCACTGGAAGTGCGTGGATGCCACTTCAGGACGTCCGTTCTAGGCTTCGGAGGCCTCCCAGGCCTAGAACGGCCCACTGGAAGTACGTGGATGCCACTTCCAGACGTCCGTTCTAGGCCTCAGAGGCCTGGAGGCGGCCTCCCAGGCCTAGAACGACCTGTCAGAAGTGCGTGGATGCCACTTCCAGAAGTCCATTCTAGGCCTCAGAGGAGGCCTCCCAGGCCTAGAACAGCCTACCGGAAGTGCATGGATGCCATTTCCAGAAGTCCATTCTAGGCCTCGGAGGCCCAGGCCTGCATCCAATAAGAGAACCAGTTGTTCAGGTATTTGAATCCCACCACTGGATGGAGGGACAGGTAGTTCCTCAACTTACAACCAATGGGTCCAAAATTTGAACTGCTAAGCAAGGTGGTTCATCTTCAAACTTCCATCTTTGGTCTCAGACTCACAGAATCATAGGGGTGGAAGGGACCTTGGAGGTCTTCTAGTCCAATCCCCTGCCGGAGCAGGACACATTATGCCATCCCAGACAAATAATTGTCCAATTTCAGTGAGTCGCACAAACCAAATTTTGTTGTTTTCCCCATGGACTTTGCTGGAAGCCTGCTGAGAACGTCCCAAATGGGGAATCACATGACCACGTAAACATGTAAACATCACATGTAAACATCACATGTAAATTACATGCCGGTTGCCAAGCCGCTGGCTTTTGACCTGGTTACTATGGGGACGCTGCACTGGTTGTTAAGGGCAAAGTTGTAATTCACATTTTTCAGTGCTGTTGTAACTTCGAACGGTCGCCAAACGGACGGTTGTACGTCGAGGGCTACCTGCATCAACCTAGTCAGAGTAGGTCGGCTACCCCTGCCCTAGCTTAACAACCACGGTGGGGCAAGAAAACGTGTAAATTGGGGCAAAATTCACTTGAAAACTGTCTGACTTAGCAACCGAAATTTTGGGTCATAAAGCGAAGACTACCTCCTAGCTCAGTGGAAGCAGAAAATGGCAGCTAACAGTGTTATGTAAGCAGGGAAAGGAAAGTGGCTCAAAGAGAGACACTATACAAAAAAACCAGATAAAACTTTGTGAAGAAAAAATGGCCGCTGCCAATTTGCCCAGCCCAGCAAGTTTCTTCCCACCCCTGAGGGCTGTTGAGCGCAGCTGGCTAAATGACAAAGGCCCGGAAATTGGCTTTTATTCCTTTATTTCTTAAATTTATTCGCCAAGTATCTCACCGTGGGGCTACGCTAGGCGGCTTCCGATAATAAAAAAGGAAGAAAATGCAAAGAGCGTAAACAGAAGTAAAATACAGGCAGTCCTCAACTTAGAGCAGTTCGTTCAGTGACCGTTCGAAGTTACAACGGCACCACAAAAAGTGACCAATGACGATTTTTCACACTTATGACCTCAGCAGCGATCCCGTGATCATGGGATCGAAGCTCAGAGGCTTGGCAACTGGTTCATACTTATGACCGCTGCTGGGTCCCACGGTCACGGGATCCCCTTTTGCGACCTTCTGACAAACGAAACCAGATTCACTTCACAACCGGGTGACTAATATTATCGAGTGCAGCGGTTCGCTTAACGACTCTGGCAAGAAGGGTCATAAAAGGGGGCAAAACCCACTTAACAAACGTCTTGCTTAACAACGCAAAGCGTTGGGCTCGATTGTGGCCCAAAATCCAGGACTACCTGTAACAGGACGATCAAGTAAAACAACGAAAAAAGAACACAACGAGAATATTATCAATACGGTAACGTAACATATGCCAGTAGGATAACAATATAACATTTTACCCGTCTGAACGAGACAAGAGGCCAGATCCACCACCTGGAGATAAGAGGACAAAAACTCACCATTTGGTTCTTAAGAGCTCCCTCAAACTTAAGGCCTCTCTGGCATGACCCTCGCCCGTCTATCACCACCACGGCGTAGCCGAGGGACGCCAGCGTGTTCAGCCGCAGGTACTTGATCCCTTTGAAGGAATTATTCACTAGTTGGACCTAGGAGACGAGCAGAGGGGGAAAAAGGGGGAGGGGAAACAAGGCACCCATTTGTAAGGGAAGCAGCTTTTTGAGGGGTCCAGTTTCCTGTACGATCCTGATTTTGAAAATGTTGCCATGGTAGCAAAGGCCATTTTGCAATCGTGGCAAATATCTGTAGCTCGGTTGCGGGACGAGGGTGAAAGATTGGTTCTCCGAGTTTGTGGGTTGGTTTTCAGACGTTTCGTTATCAGGCCAGGTAACACCTTCAGCGGAATTTAGGGCAGGAGTCCCCAAACTATGGGCTGTGGCCCACTCCCGGGCTGCGTCCTATTGGCCATTGGGCCATTGCATGTTTATATGCGTGTGTGTGTGCAGCCGCGCTCGTGCGTCGCGGGTATTCGCGGCCCCACTCATGCGAGCATCGTGGGTGTTCGTGGCCCCTTGTGTGAGCGTTGCTGGTGTTTGCGGCTCCACTCATGCGAGTGTTATGGGTGTTAGCAGCCCTACTTGTGTGAGGGTCGCAAGCATCTGCGGCCTCACTCATGCAGGCGCTTTCGGCACCACTCACACAACCAATGGGTGTTCGAGCGCGCGTGCGCTTACTACCCACAACACCATCCCTTCTTTCCCCCCCTCCTCCCTGCTCCAGGCCGCCAACTCTGAAAGGTTGGGGAACTCTGATTTAGGGGACGACACTGTTGGTGCTCTTCTCTTCTCAAAGTCCTTACAAACAGGAGAACACCGACATCTCTTAAACTCCGCTGAGGATGTGTACCTAGCCTGGGAACAAACCATTGGGAAACCAGCGCACAAGCTCGGAGAACCAATCTCCCCCTTCAAAAGCAATTTTCTTGCTTTCTGAACCAAGGTGTCAACGCTGCTAACATCGGATGTTTTTGTTTTGACAACATATGGAGTTGCAACCATTTTCCTTCTTGTGTTTTACTGTTAGAATTAGATGATACTGGGAGGGGAGGGGGAGGAATGTGCATGGGAGTTTAGTTAGACATAACAATACTGTAACTAGTGTGAGAACCAAGGTTTTGGAAATAAGAGACGATAAGAATTGGCTGGACTGGAGAACTGGAGGGAAGGCCCGCATTTCAAACTAATTGGAGGATGTGATTTATGACTGTAAATTAGAGGAGATAATTGTGCTCTGATACTGTGTGCTCAGGGGAGGGGAATTCAGATTTTGGCTTTGACTATGTACGTGCCGACGCTATGCTTCTCGAATAAAGACTCTTTAAGGTAAACAATGCCTCAAAGTTCTTTGAAGAGTAAGTAGACAGCCTTGGTACTTCCGAGACTTCTTCGTCCTGTCCTTCTTCGAACTGCAAAAACTTGAAACCGTGGCCTCCTTTGAAGACTCTTATGTCCATAAGGAGCTTCAATGCTGGTGTTGACTTGGGTCTTCCCTACGACGATTCCCTTTGTGACCAATCCACTCAAAACGGGTAAAAAGAACAGCGGCAATTCACAATCATTGCATTTGTGAAGTCAGTAACACGGTTGTGAAGTGAATCTGGATTCCCCATTTGACTTTGCTTGGCAGAAGGTCGTGAAAGCGGATCACGTGACCGTCCCCCAGGAGGCTGCAACCGTCATAATTATGAACCACTTGCCAAGCGTCCGAATTTTGATCACGTCACCATGGGGATGATAATAATAATAATGATAAAGTTGGAAGGGACCTTGGAGGTCATCTAGTCCAACCCCCTGCTCAAATGGCTGTCCAGTTTCTTCTTAAAAACTTCCAGTGTTGGCGCGTTCACCGCTTCTGGAGGCAGGTTGTTCCACTGGTTAATTGTCAGGAAGTTTCTCCTTAGTTCTAGGTTGCTTCTCTCTTTGGTTAGTTTCCACCCGCTGCTTCTTGTCCTGCCTTCAGGCGCTTTGGAGAATAGCTTGACTGCCTCTTCTTTGGGGCAGCCCCTGAGATATTGGAAGACTGCCATCATGTCCCCCCTCCTCCTTCTCTTCATTAAACTAGACATCCCCAATTCCAGCAACCGTTCCTTATATGTTTTAGCCTCCAGTCCCCTAATCATCTTTGTTGCTCTTCTCTGTACTCTTTCTAGAGTCTCAACATCTTTTTTACATCGTGGTGACCAAAACTGGATGTGACGGTTAAGTGTGAAAAATGGTCATAAGTCCCTTTTTTCAGTGCCGTTGTAACTTTGAACAGTCACTAAATGGACGGTGGTAACGCGAGGACTACCTGTACGGGGAACCCTTGACTTACAAACATTCGCTTAGTGTCTGTCTGGAATTACAACGGCACTAAAAAAAGTGACTGAGGACCGTTTTTCATACTTAACGGCCGTTGCAGCATCCCCACGGTCACGTGATCAAAATTCAGACGCTTGGCAACTGACTCGTATTCATGACGGTCGCAGTGCTCTGGGGAGGTCACGTGGTTCCCTTTTGCAACCTTCTGACCAGCAAAGTCAATGGAGGAAACCGGATTTCACGATTCATTTAACAACTGCAGCGATTCACTTAATAACTGTGGCAAGAAAAGTTGTAAAATGGGACACAGCTCACTTAAGAACCGTCTCGATTACGCAACAGAAACTTTGGGCTCAATTGCAGTCGTAAGTCGAGGACTGCCTGCGTTTGGCGGCCCATTCTCCTGACAACCGGGACACCGCCTTACCTGAGGCCCCCCGTAGACAAAGAGCACCATGGGATGCTTCTTCCCAGGCTGGAGGTCGTGCGGCTTGTACACCATCCCGTAGAGTTCGACGTCGGACTGCGTGCGGAAATGAAAGATCTCGGGGGGGACGTAATCAGCAGGACAGCCTGCAAAACACGGGAAGCAGAGGGGAGGGGGTGAGAGTCACGCCGGTCATGCTCACACGGCGCCCCCTTCTCACCAGCGAAGATGGTCCTGTTGTGATTCCTCACCAGCCAGTGGACCCGGCAGCTGAGTCTGGGGAATCAGAAGAGGAGGAGGAGGAGGAGGAAGGGTCTGGAGGGACATCAGAGTCAGAGGAAGGCTCTGAGGAACTCCAAGAATTGGACAAGAAGCCTGGCCTCTCTACTCGCGCTCAGGCTGAGTCACAGCTGTGTTCCAGTAGACTGTGCTGGGAGTCCGAGTTGGACAGTGATGAATCACAGCTGGGAGATATCCAGGATGCAAAAGAAGCGAGTAGGACAGAGGAATGCAATGGGGCGGCTTCAAAGACAAAGGAGAAGGCATTAGGAAGCCACGCCTGGGCTGCATAATAAAAGGGAAGGTGTGGGAGGTGCTGGTCGCCAAAGGCAACCGTTTGTGTTAAGGAATCAAGTTTGTGTGAACTGTGTTTTGTTTGCCTTTGGACATTTTACTCAGGTCTGTGAATAATAAAAGGGGGTTGGTTTTTTCCTGCGGTTCCAGCCCACTTGTTGGAAGAGGGGTTTCTCCTTGTGAGCGTAACAAGGACTCAAGTAGGCTGGGACAGAACAGATCCAACAAACCACAGTTACAGCAGAAACGGAAGAGCGAGAACAGCAGAGCCTTCCCTTTATACAAAGGCTCTTAAAGAGACACAGACCCTGCTGAGTCATTCTCAGATCCGGTCCTCCTGCCGGGTGTCTCTGGGAATGGTCCTGCTTAGTAAAACAGGTCGTTTCTTGTTGTGGAATTAAAAATAAAACGTAGCTTCTGAATACAGGGAGTCCTCGACGTACGACCGCAATGGAGCCCGGAATTGTTTATCTTAAATTTGGTTCAGTGAGGTTTGCCCCATCGGGTGATTTTTTTTTCCTTGCCACTTTTGTTAAGTGGATCGATGCGGTTGTCAAATTAGTCACACGGTTGTGAAGTGAATCTGGGGCACTGGATTTTGCAAAATGTGATCGCGTGACTCTGGAGGGGGGGCACTGCAGCCATCGTAAGTACAAACCAGCTGTCAAGCATCTGAATGCAAATCGTGTGACTGTGGGGAGGTTACCACGGTCGCAAGCGTGAAAAACGGGCACCAGTCACTTTCTTCAGTGCCGTCGCAACTTTGAACGGTCACTAAATGAACTGTTGTAAGTTGAGGACCACCTGTATTCTGCGAGCATGGAGAGAACGAACTCCCAAGGGAGACGAAGACACGGGCTCTTCGACCCAAAATCCTAGAGTGGTTCTCCCAATACAGGCAGTCCTCGACTTGTAACAGTTCATTTAGTGACCGTTCAAAGTTACAACGGCACTGAAAAGAAGGATTTATGACCGTTTTTCACACTTACGACCGTTGCACTATCCCTGTGGTCACGTGATCAAAATTCAGATGCTTGGCAACTGACTCGTATTTATGACGGTCGCAGTGACCTGGGGTCACGTGATCCCCCTTTTGCGACCTTCTGACAAGCAAAGTCAATGGGGGAAGCCAGATTCACTTAACCACCCGTGTCACTAACTTAACAGCTGCAGTGATTCACTTAACAACCGTGGCGTGGAAGGTTGTAAAATGAGGCAAAACCCATTTAGCCAAGGTTTCACTTAGCCACAAACATTTTTGGGCTCAACTATGGTCGAGGACTACCTGTCATACTGCCACGGAAAAGGGCCTTCAGGAGGGTGGGGGTGGCCCCTTCCTTATGGAACATTGTTCCCCTGAACTAGGGACGGCCTGCGTGCTGCTGCTTTTCTATAAGACCCCCAAAACATGGTGTTGCCAGCGAGCCTCGGGGTGACATAGATGGAGTCCATCGAGTGGCTGATTTGTTTGTTGCTGTCACAGGGTTTGTGTGTGTATAAAAGAGAGAGGGGGGGGTAACAGACAGAGAGAGAGACAGAGACAGACAGACAGAGACACAGAGAGAGAGAGACAGACAGAGACAGACAAACAGACAGGCAGAGAGACAGAGACACACGGAGAGATACAGAGACACAAACAGACAGAGACAGACAGACAGAGAGACACAGAGAGAGAGACAGACAGAGGCAGGCAGAGCGAGAGACAGAGAAGTAGACAGAGAGAGAGACAGAGAGAAACAGAGACAGACAGTCAGAGAGACAGAAAGAGATAGACACAGAGATAGACAAGAGACAGAGGCAGAGAGACAGACACAGAGACAGACAAACAGTCAGAGAGATAGACAGAGATAGATAGACAGAGACACACACAGAGAAACACAGACAGACACACAGACAGAGACAGAGATAGGTAGAGACAGAGCAAGAGACAGACAGACAAACAGAGACAGAGTCAGAGACACACAGAAAGAGACACACAGACAGACACAGACACACACAGAGAGAGAGAGAGAGAGAGAGAGAGAGAGAGAGAGAGAGAGAGATGGGCTTTTTATGTGCCAAATTTTTAAGCCAGAGTCACCGATGTCTGAGTTGGGTGGCGATATATATTTAATAAATTAATTAATGTATGTCTGTCAAGAACGAAGGGTGGGGCCGAACCAGCCAATCCCAAATTCTCCCCCCTGCCCCCCCGTTCCACAGAGAAGTTGGCCCACCCCTTATTCCTAAGATCTCAAGGCAGAGCTTGGCCCCCTCTGTGTGGCTGGCCCCAACGTCGGTGCCCGTGGCTGAATTCAGACGCCCGGCCCAATTTTACTCACTGGCAGCTTCCATCATGCTGGCCCAAAACTTTGGCTGCTTGTGGAGGGGGTCTTCGTCGGAGCCGCTGAGCTTGTAAACGTGCACACAGGGAGGGGTCCTGACGCTACTGTAGTGACTGATGAACATATCGAAGTTCTGCGGGAAAGGATGAAGATCAGGAGAGCGTTCGGCATCCAGACCAAGCAGGGGGGGGTCCAAACCTGGCGACTTTTAAAGACTTTTGGACTTCAACTCCTAGAATACACCAGAACTTTCAATACCCAGAATACCCTGCAGCCCGAACTCAAAAAAGGATCAGGTAGCTGGTGATACATCAGCCTATTCTGGAAAGAATTTGCTGGTCAGGATACAGGCGGTCCTCAAGTTACGACAGCTCTTTCAGTGACCAAAGTTAACAACAGCACTGGAAAAAGCGACGGGTGTTCATTTTTCACACTTTACGACCGTTGCGGCATTCCTAGGGTCACGGGATCGAAACTGGCAACTGACTCATATTTACGAGGGTTGCAACGTCCCCAGGTTACCTGATCCTCTTTGGCCAAGTCAAAGGGGAAGCCAGATTCATTTAACGGCCGTGTTATTAACTTAACAGCTACAGTGATTGGCTTAAAAACGGCGACGGGAAAGAACGTAAAATGGGGCAAAGCTCGCTTAACAACTGTCTCGCTTAGCAACGGAAATTTTGGGCTCAAGTGTGAGGACTACCTGTAACGATAAAGACTCCAACAGGGTGTATTTGGGCCCTTGGTTGATCTGGACCACTCCCTCTTCTCTTCCCCAATTAAATGCTCCAACACTGGAAGTTTTTAAGAAGAGACTGGACAGCCATTTGTCTGGAATGGTGTAGGGTTTCCTGCCTGAGCAGGGGGTTGGACTTGATGACCTCCAAGGTCCCTTCCAACTTTATTTTTATTATTATTATTATTATTATTATTATTATTATTATTATTATTATTATTATTATTGAGCAGTTGGGAATTTTTATTTTTCTCTTTCTTTCTTTCTTTCTTTTTCTTTCTCTCTCTCTCTTTCTTTTTTTTGTAATTGCCAGCCACGTTACAAGTGGACCATTTCTCCTCTGCCCCCATAACTCCAAGTTGGAGAAGACTTCCAGTTAGAGACTCAGAGGCTACTCTTAGTTCACTCAGGGCTAGTCTTAGTCACCAGAGACTCTCGAGACATCGTGGAATGAATATGGACACCTGCCCATAGAAGCGTAGCCCTGCCAGGATGATCCCAAAAGCTGCTTTTTTTTCTCTCTCTCCCCCAAAAGGCGACTGGACTATCTTGGTTTTTCCTTGAAGACCTTTCGCCTCTCGTCCGAGAAGCTTCTTCAGTTCTGACTGAAACGTCTTCCGAGGAAAAACCAAGAAAGTACAGTTGCCTTTTGAGGGAAGAAAAAAAAAAAAGCACCTTTGGGATATCAATATCTCAGGGGCTGCCCCAAAGAAGAGGGAGTCAAGCTATTCTCCAAAGCGCCGGAAGGCAGGACAAGAAGCAACAGATGGAAACTAACCAAGGAGAGAAGCAACCTAGAACTAAGGAGAAACTTCCTGACAGTTAGAACAATTAACCAGTGGAACAACCTGCCTCCAGAAGTGGTGAATGCTCCAACACTGGAAGTCTTTAAGAAGAGACTGGACAGCCATTTGTCCGAAACAGTACAGGGTTTCCTGCCTGAGCAGGGGGTTGGACTAGATGACCTCCTAGGTGCCTTCCAACTTTATTATTATTATTATTATATTATTATTATTATTATTATTATTATTATTATTATTGCTATTATTATTATTATTATTATTATTATTATTATTATTATTATTATTATTATTATTATTACTATTACTACTACTACTATTATTAATCATCGCACAGTCAGCCAGATGTTCAGATTGGATTTGGCATTTTTGTCTACCTATCGAGTCCTTACCAAGGACCTGGGATAGGCAGATGTGGATGTTTGAGGGTATTACAGATCTCGTCGCAGGATGGAAGCGGTTCCTAGTAAGGCCGCCTTTTGCAATTGACTAATGGCGAATTTGTCAATGCCAATGGTGCTCAAGTGGTGCTCCAGTTTTGGGATTGCACCCAAGGTGCCTATGACTATTGGAACTACCCTTGCTTGCCTTTGCCACAGTCTTTCTATTTCTATTTGTAGCTCTTTGTATTTTGTGATCTTCTCCAGTTCTTTCTCGTCTATTCTGCTGTCTCCAGGCACTGCCACGTCCAGAAGTTGTGAATGCTCCAACCCTGGAAGTTTTTAAGAAGAGACTGGACAGCCATTTGTCTGAAATGGTATAGGGTTTCCTGCCTGAGCAGGGGGTTGGACTAGATGACCTCTAAGGTCCCTTCCAACTTTATTATTATTATTATTATTATTATTGATCATTGCACAGTCAGCCAGACGTTCAGACTGGATTTGGCATTTTTGTCCACTTATCGAGTCCTTACCAAGGACCTGGGATGGGCAGATGTGGATGTTTGATGGTATTACAGATATCGTATTATTATTATTATTATTATTATTATTATTATTATTATTATTATTATTATTATTATTATTATTAATCATCCATAACCTGGATGACTGAGAAACTCCAGACATCTACCAGGGGATGAGGTGGGTTTCATTTTAACCTGGATGGACCGGCTGCAAGTGTTCGGTCTTCAGACCCGCGGAAACGGACCTGACTCATGGAGCAGCTGTGGGAGAAGCCCAGGGTGGTGAGCCGCACGACCTCGCCAGGAGATTCGTAGCTGACCACGTAGAGATGGTGTTCCAACGGGGTATCCTTCGTGCCCTGGAAATACACCAGCTTCGTTTCTTCGTTGACCCAAATCTGGAGAGGCAAAAGAGACAAGTGTCAACGTCCAGCTCGAGGATCCAAATAAATTGCCACGTTCCTCCTGTTTCCGAAAATCTTACCGTTTATTGAACACAAGGCATGGTCCTGTCGAAGCAAAACTAACTCTGAGGTTCCCACGCACCAACTCATAGAATTAAACAATAATTTCTCCGGCCTAACCCCTCCCCTCTCATCTAGTCTCTGTTACGGGAACCGTCTGCTTCTCCTCCACACCCGCTGCAGTGTCCTTGGAAAGGTTTCAGGCTCTCACAGGTCTTCAGAGGAATCATAAAGGTTTCGTTTCTCCATCTAAACACTTCTAAAGCAACACCTCACTCACACACACACACACACACACACACACACACACACCGCAAATGGCAAGTCGAAACGAAGAGGCACGTCGCTTTCCAAGTTTCGTGCTTGACGGACAGAGAGAGAGAGAGGATGGGAGGGGCAGAGCGCACGTGGGAAACTGCTTGGAGAGTCAGAATTGTGAGAGTTCATTTCAGCTACACACCCTTAGCTTCGAAGGTTATCGGCCCAGTTGGGTTGAAAAGGGCAGCGGGGGTGTCATCTTTAAAGTTCTGAGCCAGCTATCATTCTGACTGTTTTGAACCTGACCTGCAGACGCTTAGTTGCAAAAAAGATCCCAGAGTCTGCATATTAAGTATATGAATAAATCCTGCAATTAACAGTATATTCTGCCCAGGGTAACCTTTTCAGCAAAAGAAAATCTTACCGGTTGGAAAAAACTGCTCGGGTAAAACAGCATTTGTGTGTCTGTGTATTTGGGAGCCTTTGAGTCGGTTTTTGACTCCTGGGGACTGCCTGAACAAGTCCCTGCAGTTGTCTTGACAAGGGTTTTTTTTGTTTTGTTTTTTTAAAGGGATTTGCCATTGCCTCCTTCCTCGGGCTGAGAGAAAGTGACTGGTCCAGCCGGCTTTCATGTCTAAGGTAGGACTAGAACTCACCGTCGCCTGGTGACTGGCCCAAAGTCACCCAGCTGGCTTGCATGACTAAGGTAGGATTAGAACTCACCGTCTCCTGGTGATTGGCCCAAAGTCACCCAGCCGGCTTTCATGTCTAAGGCGGGACTAGAACTCACTGTCTCCTGGTGATTGGCCCAAAGTCACCCAGCCGGCTTTCATGTCTAAGGCGGGACTAGAACTCACTGTCTCCTGGTGATTGGCCCAAAGTCACCCAGCTGGCTTTCCTGCCTAAGGCGGGACTAGAATTCAGAGATTCCTGGTATCTATCCTGGTGCCTTAACCACTACACCAAACCACCTCTCTGATTCCTGCAGCAGGAAACTATCAATCAGGAACCAGGGAAGAGATGGCAAAGGCCTGAAATGGCGTTTTCACTGGGCGCGCAAGAGACCTCGTACCTTGTATCCATGTCGGGCCAAAACTTCCCATTCTCCACTCGTGAGGGCCGCTTCTTCCTTCAGAGGGCATTTGAAGTCACCTGAAAAGACAGAAGAGAGTCGGTGGCCCAATTCCACAGCTGCTCCCTGGAATCAGCTGTGAGGACAATGCACCAGCCATAATTGGCTGGGCTACAGCTCCCATCACCTCGTACCTAAACGTTTGAAGGCCTATGGAGACCTCTGGGTTTGCCTTGCCTTCAATCAGGGGTAGGCCACCTTGGCTCTTTTAGGACTCGTGGACTTCAACTCCCAGCATTCCTGAGCCAGCCACGCTGAGGGGAAAGGGAGAGGTTTCCAAGCTGAGCCATGCCGGCTCAGGAATTCTGGGAGTTGGAGTCCATGAGTCATAAAAGAGCCAAGGTTGCCTACCCATTCTAGGCCAACCCCCTGCTCAGATAGGAAGCCCTATACCAGGGGTAGGCAACCTTGGCTCTTTTATGACTCGTGGACTTCAACTCCCAGAATTCCTGAGCCAGCATGGCTCAGCTTGGAAACCTCTCCATTTCCCCTCAGCATGGCTGGCTCAGGAATGCTGGGAGTTGAAGTCCACGAGTCCTAAAAGAGCCAAGGTTGCCTACCCCTGGCCTAGGCCTAGGCCGCTTTATGACTTGTGGACTTCAACTCCCAGAATTCCTGAGCCAGCCATGCTGAGGGGAAAGGGAGAGGTTTCCAAACTGAGCCATGCCGGCTCAGGAATTCTGGGAGTTGAAGTCCACGAGTCCTAAAAGAGCCAAGGTTGCCGACCCCTGCCTTAAATGAAGCGGAAGGGAGCAGAACACTTGGGAGTGTCGTCTTCCCCTTTGTGGCCTCCTTAAGAGTGTCCTTACAACAAGAGAGGATGCTCTGGTCTAAAATGAAGTGGGAACACGTCCCATTTTGTTTTTTTCTGAAAGGAGCAGCTCTTGGTGGTCTCTGAGCTTGGCTGTCTTCTTGCAGACGTTTCATGACCCAGCTAGATAACATCATCAGTGCTAGAAGGGGGTGAAGTTGGAGGAGGAGGAGGAGGATGACAGTTGGTCCTTAGTGCTCTCTGACGTGCTTGTTTTCTTGCAGACATTTCATGACCCAGCTAGGTAACATCATCAGTGCAAGAAGGGAGTGAGGTTAGTGAGGAGGAGGATGGCTGTGGGATATTATTATTATTATTATTATTATTATTATTATTATTATTATTATTATTATTATTAATTTAAATTTATATACCGCCCTATCTCAGGGCGGTGAACAGGTGATAATAAAAATCACAATAAATATTAAATAAAAATACTTGGTGCTCTCTGAGCTTAGTGGTTTTCTTGGCAGATGTTTCATGACCCAGGTAGGTAACATCATCAGTGGAAGAAGGGAGTGGGGTTAGTGAGGAGGAGGAGGATGGCTGTGGGATACTTGGTGCATTCTGAGCTTGGTGGTTTCCTTGCAGACGTCTTATGACCTAACTGTGTAACATCATCAGTGTAGGAGGAATGTGGGTCTTTCAGGTTTTTTTTTAAAAAATTTTTATTAAGTTTTATAAAGGTTGGGGAAAAACGGGATCAATATAGGTAGTGGGATTCAGGGTGGGGTTCAGGGATGGGGTTGGGAATAGGGGTGGGTATAACAATGGGGTTGCCCCCAATAATATTCCAAGCTTTAGCAAGCAGACTGTTGTCCGGATACAGAAATTCAGTGGGAATAGTTAATATAATAATAAGTAGCTGTGGTCAACAAAGATAGCAATAATTATAGAGCATGTCGATTAGTCAATAAACATCAATCATCTTAATAAATTTCACAATCATTTCTCGCTAACTCGTTTTGCTAACCATTGGTTAAAAATTTTCCCATGTTTTAAAATAAACCGAGTCTTCTTTCTCTTTAATCTCTAGAGTTAGTCTGTCCATTTCTGCACATTCTAAGATTTTCCTAATTATGATCTCATCAGGTGGTTACATTTTCATTTTTCCAGTATTGGGCAAATGCTATTCTCGCAGCTGTCAATATATGTCAGATTAAATACTCATTCTCTTTCCCATAGTTAGATCCTAGTATTCCTAACAAAAACCTGGCTTAAAATCTATCTGTATTTTAGTCATCTTTTCCAGCCATGTATGAATCTTAAACCAAAATTTCTTTGCACTAGGACAGGGGTAGGCAACCTTGGCTCTTTTATGACTCGTGGACTTCAACTCCCAGAATTCCTGAGCCAGCATGGCTCAGCTTGGAAACCTCTCCATTTCTCCTCAGCATGGCTGGCTCAGGAATTCTGGGAGTTGAAGTCCACGAGTCATAAAAGAGCCGAGGTTGCCTACCCCTGCACTAGGACATACCGACCAGATATGGTAATAAATACCTGGCTTTTGTTTACATTTCCAACAATTATTCGAAACATTTTTAAACATTTTCGCTAGCCTTACTGGTGCCATTGAGGAGGAATGTGGCTCTTTGCCAGTCTCTGAGCGTGCAACGTTTCACGACCCAACTAGGTAACCTCATCAGTGCTAGAAGGGAGCGGGGTTGGCTTTCTTTTCGTGTCCCGGGAATCGGCAGAGGGAGGAGGCCCAAGCGCGCCCAGCTCTCACCTTTGCTAGGCACGTACGGCTGAGTCCAGTCGTACATCTTGCGCTGCAGGATGGCTGTGACTCTGTACAGGTGGCAGAAGCCCGTCTTGCACTCGTTCGCTCGGAGGAAAGTCAGCTCTTCCTCTTCCTCCTCGGACTGGGCGAAGGGGTAGAAGATGTCGTGGACCTAGCCGGGAGGCAAAAACGGCAGAAGAGGCTAAGGACCCATTCCGCTCACAACAGGCAGCAATCGGGGAAGGGGGGGGACAACAGTTGTTGGGTGAGTTTTGCCCCAGGTTACGACCTTTCTTGCCATAGTTGTTAAGTGAATCAGTGTAAAAAAGAGGCTGAGACTCTAGAAAGAGTACAGAGAAGAGCAACAAACATGATTAGGGGACTGGAGGCTAAAACATATAAGGAACGGTTGCTGGAATTGGGTATGTCTAGTTTAATGAAGAGAAGGACGAGGGGGGACAGGATAGCAGTGTTCCAATATCTCAGGGGCTGCCCCAAAGAAGAGGGAGTCAAGCTATTTTCCAAAGTGCTCGAAGGCAGGACAAGAAGCAACGGGTGGAAACTGACCAAGGAGAGAAGCAACCTGGAACTAAGGAGAAACTTCCTGACAGTGAGAACAATTAACCAGTGGAACTACTTGCCATCAGAAGCGGTGAATGCTCCAACACTGGAAGTCTTTAAGAAGAGACTGGACAGCCATTTGTCTGAAATGGTATAGGGTTTCCTGCCTGAGCAGGGGGTTGGACTAGATGACCTCCAAGGTCCCTTCCAACTTTACTACTATTATTATTATTATCTTTTATTCATTAGACATGAACCTCAGTCAACTGAACATTCAAATTGGCTGGCGCTGATGATTGACACGGGTTGTTATCAGCATCCTAGGTGTCAACCAGGTACCTCCTTAAAATGTAAGATGTTCCGAGTAGCGCAGTTTTTTGTAACATTGTAACATCATCATCATCATCATCATCATCATCATCATTATTAATCAAGGAGAGAAGCAACCTAGAACTAAGGAGAAACTTCCTGACAGTGAGAACAATTAACCAGTGGAACAACCTGCCTCCAGAAGCGGTGAATGCACCAACACTGGAAGTTTTTAAGAAGAGACTGGACAGCCATTTGTCTGAAATGGTATAGGGTCTCCTGCCTGAGCAGGGGGTTGGACTAGATGACCTCCAAGGTCTCTTCCAACTTTGTTGTTGTTATTATTATTGCACTTGTTAAGTGAGTCACACGATTGTTAAATGAGTCTTGCTTCACTCGGCTTCTCAAGACACAGAAAGAATGGGAAGCATCAGAAAATCTGGGGGGCGGTGGGGGGAGTTATACGTGAGAAAAAGCCCCGTATCTGAGCTCAGCTTACGTTGATCCAGACATTGGTGACTTCTTCGTAGACGATGAAGGGATGGGTGTTCTCCGGCACGGCTTTGGCAAATTCCAGGCGCTGTTCCTCGTTTTCCGGGACCGGGATGAAGAGGGCGGGAGGGAAGAGGACCAGCTGGAGCTGCTGCTGAGGTCTGTCTAGGAACATGGCCCATGCGCTGCGGGGAAGCGGGAGAGGGAAGGAAAAGAAAGATTGGTGTGCAGGAAAGCCAGGGGGAGCAACTGCAGACTAAACCTTGGGAACACGGCTGAGTAATGCTGGGAAGAATTAGGGGAGTCTCCCAACTCGGCACCTTTAAGACTTTGTGGACTTCAACTCCCAGAGTTCCTCAGCCAGCTATGGCTCGTTGAGGAACTCTGGGAGTTGAAGTCCACGAGTCTTAAAAGGTGCCAAGTTCGGAGACCCCTGCCGTAAACCAAACTCGGGGTTTAGTTCTCAAATTCCTCTGGCACAACTTTTCCTGTCTCTCTCTTTTTTTTAAATTTCAATTTTTCCCATCTTTAGTCACTAGCGTCTGAAATTCAAAAGCCAGACAAGCTTGGGAGTAGGGCAGGATGGAGAAGCCACAGATCCCAGGAAACCCTTGATCAAGACACCCCAAATATTGATAAGGGAGAATATTTGTAGCTCATGGTTGAAATGAGGGCTCCTTGGTGCTTTCTGAGCTGGGTGGTTTTCTTGCAGATCTTTCATTATCCAACTAGGTAACATCATCGGTGCTAGAAGGGAGTGGGGTGTGCAGAGGAGAGGGGGATGAGAAGGAGAAGGAGGAGAAGAAGGAGGAGGAGGAGGGGGGGAGAAGGGGAAGAAAAAGAAGAAAAAGAAGAGGAGGAGGAAGAGAAGATAAAGAAGAAGAAGGAGGAGAAGTTGAAGAAGAAAAAGAAGAGGAGGAGGAGGAGGAGGAGGAGGAGGAGGAGGAGGAGGAGACGATGAATGTGGGTTCCTTGCTGCTTTCCTTGCAGATCTTTCATTATCCAACTAGGTAACATCATCAGTGCTGGAAGGGAATGGGGTGTGCAGAGGAAGAGGAGGAGGAGGAAGAGGAGGAGAAGATGAAGGAGGAGGAGGAGGAGGAAGAGGAGAAGAAGAAGAAGGAGGAGGAGGAGGGGAGGGGGAGAAGGGGAAGAAGGAGGAGGAGAAGTTGAAGAAGAAAAAGAAGAGGAGGAGGAGGAGGAGGAGACAACGATGAATGTGGGTTCCTTGCTGCTTTCCTTGCAGATCTTTCATTATCCAACTAGGTAACATCATCAGTGCTGGAAGGGAATGGGGTGTTCAGAGGAGGAGGATTGTGGGGTCTTGGTTGTCTCTGAGCTTTTCTTGCAGATGTTTCACGACCCAATTAAGTAACATCAGTGCTAGTCCTCTTATTAACCCTACTTTGGATAATGAAACATCTGCAAAAAAGCCCGCCAAGCTCAGAGAGCACCAAGGACCCCTCACTCAGATATTGATCAAAATGCGCAAACACTCTTAATCTGGGATAAGGTAGCTTAGCTGTCTCCACCTCAACTACACAGATACTTACTATTTGCCATCTCGGGTCCAACCAGCTCGCGCAATGTACTCCACGTTGGGGAACATGGTAGCAAAGGGGTGCACCAGCTCCATGTCGCGGGCATGCATGATCTGCCAATATTCAGGGAGAAGGGAAAGAGATTGAAAGTGTAACTGGAGAAAGTTTTGTAGATGGCAAAATTTACACGCCTCTGCCAGGAAAAGTATCCCCAAAGCAGAAACAATATGCCCATTTGCATCAGGGTTGGGTAGCTTGTATAAATCGAACTTAATTAAATGACAATTAAAGTAAATTACTTTTTAAAAAAAAAATTTTTTTAATTGAAACGATAACTTCCTTTTTATTCATTCATTTATTGATGAACGCACTTTCATTTTTATTTGGTTCTCTTGCGAAGTTGCTTTTTTATAAGCCATCCAGCCCCGTTAACTACTTTGGGCGGCACAAAATAGACCATTAAAAACATAAGCAATTAAAATAATAAAGGACAGGATGGAAATGAATAAATTCCAGCCAAGAAAGGAAAACTCAATACAGTAAAAAAAAAAAAAACATCTAGAGAAAAACAATTGTCATCATCCCGATAGTTGGACTTAATTTTATTTAATGATATAATTTTTTTATTTTTAAAAAAAAGAAAATTGAAGATTTCCCCTAACAAATTAACCAAATGAGAACTGAGGCTGTTTTGGGGCTTGGTTTGTTTGTTTCATTTTTAAATGACACAAGCAGAGTTACAGGCCTAATTTTCTCCCTAAAACACACTGAAACAGCCGGGGAGACAAGGCAGAATATACAACCATATTTCCCCCAAAATAAGACTGGGTCTTATAAATTGGGTATGTCTAGTTTAATGAATTGGGAATTGGGGATGTCTCGTTTAATGAAGAGAAGGACGAGGGGGACAGGATAGCAGCCTTCCGGTATCTCAGGGGCTGCCCCAAAGAAGAGGCAGTCAAGCTATTCTCCAAAGCGCCTGAAGGCAGGACAAGAAGCAACGGGTGGAAACTGATCATAAAAATGAAAGAGAAAGAAGATTCAGAATACTTTAGAATAGCGGTTTAATAATAGGTTTATTTTGATAAAAATTATTATGTATTGGAATGGAAAAAAATTTGGCTTTTTAGATTTGCATGGTTTCAATAATTATGTGAGTGTTTTAAATTAGTAAGATGACCTTTCTGTATGATAACATAAAAGTGATAAGTCATGACAATCAATTGGATTGGATGAAATTTGAATTTTGTTTAATGAATTGAAATGATTTAAGGTTTAACATTATTTTGTTATTTTAAAGAGATTGATCAATTGTGGGATTATATATGTATAGGGTAGATTAATATTTTATTTTAACTATGATATCTATTGTGTAGTGGAAGAAGAAATAAATGAGATTGGTGATAAAATGAGGGAGGTGAGAGATTAAGAATTAGAATATATTTGGAAGAGATACCTGAATTGATAACTTGTTGATTTAAAGTTAAATTTGATTATGGTAATTGTAAACTGACAAAGTTTTTAAACAGGTTTAGCAGTAATAGAAATTTAAATTAGAAATGGAATATTTCAAACGTACTATGCTAGTTGAGGAAAATAGAGAGGGGACAGTGAATGTTCTGAGTTGAGTTGTTTATATATGTTTTCACTTTTGAATGTTTGATTACCCAAACGCCACGGTGTGTCCTGAGTACTTTTTCTTAAGAATTAAAAAACTAAAAATTAAAAATAAAATGTGTTAAAAAAAGAAAAGAATAGCAGTCTTCAAACTTGGCTCTTTTATGACTTGTGGACTTCAACTCCCAGAATTCCTCAGCCAGGCACAAGTCATTAAAGGGCCAGGTTTGAAGACCCCTGGCCTAAGATAAAAGTATAAAAATCAAAGCTTCCATACCGGAGCCTAAAGAGTTGGACTCACCTTTCCTTGGCTGTCGGTTTGAAACTCTGCCAGTTTTAGTGCGATCTTGGGATTTTTGCTACCTGAAATGGACGTAAAATAAAAGAGATGCAAAATACAGTGAAATTTTAACATCTGCATCCAGTTGGTCCCCCCCCCCCCCGCATGAGGGAAAAAAATCAGTTTTATTCACTTAGGTTAATTTCTTTGCACCTGACCGGGGGGGGGGGGAGAGCTACGTAGATAATCCAATTATATTGACAATTTTGTCTGGTGCCCTAGGCAGTGTTTGAACTGTATGCTCCTCTCTCTCACAGTGGTTAGTAAGGGTGCCACCATGGAAAAACCGTGATTAGATTACTCCAAATTGATTAGGATCACAGAAAGGCAAAAAACAAAAAAGGAAGATGCTGAGACTCTAGAAAGATTGCAGAGAAGAGAGCAACAAAGGGGATTGGAGCATAAAACATACAAAGAATGGTTGCTGGAATTGGGTATGTCTAGTTTAATGAAGAGAAGGACGAGGGGGACAGGATAGTTTTGGGGCTTGGTTTGTTTGTTTGTTTGTTTCATTTTTAAATGACACAAGCAGAGTTACAGGCCTAATTTTCTCCCTAAAACACACTGAAACAGCCGGGGAGACAAGGCAGCATACAGAACCATATTTCCACCAAAATAAGGCTGGGTCTTATAAATTGGATATGTCTAGTTTAATGAATTGGGAATTGGGGATGTCTCGTTTAATGAAGAGAAGGACGAGGGGGGACATGATAGCAGTCTTCCAGTATCTCAGGGGCTGCCCCAAAGAAGAGGGAGTCAAGCCATTCTCCAAAGCACCTGAAGGCAGGACAAGAAGCAACGGGTGGAAAGTAACCAAGGAGAGAAGCAACTTAGAACTAAAGAGAAATTTCCTGACAGTGAGAACAATTAACCAGTGGGACAACCTGCCTCCAGAATCTGTGAATGCTCCAACACTGAACGTTTTTAAGAAGAGACTGGACAGCCATTTGTCTGAAATGGTATAGGGCTTCCTGCCTGAGCAGGGGGATGGACTAGATGACCTCCAAGGTCCCTTCTAAGCCTTTTATTCTATGTTCTATATGTCAGTCTGCATATAGACTGCATATGGACATATGGAGGAGGTCTCTGCTAGCTCTGTTGGGAATACCTGCCACTGTTTTCTCCTTCCATCATCCCCCACTGACCTGTTCTGGGATACCGGTATGTGTCCGTTTTCCGTTCTTCAAGGGCCGGGGAAGGGACGTGAATCACCTCCACCTCAGACTCATCCACTTCCTCGTACAGAATTCGCAAGGTCTTCCAGCCTTCGGGTCCTAAATGGAAAGCAGGCGGGTAGAAGGACGGAAGGGAGGTTAATAGATAAGAGAAGGTAAACCTTATTGTCATTTTTTTTTCTGTGTACAGAATGGAACACATTAAAACGAAATTCTGATGCCTGCTCTCGAAATATATTTACATACACACTCACGCCCGTATATTATGTATATATACATATATCATCATACATACATATATATTTATATATACATACATGTGTGTGTGTGTGTGTATTAATCACAGTCCATTTTAAATACATAGCGGGGGAAAAAGTCTTGAGAGTTAACGAGGTTGATACTATATGGTACAGGTAATCCTTGGCTTACAACGCTTCATATAATAATAATATAATAATAATAATACCACCACCAATAGTCATAGGCGCCTTGGGTGCAATCCCAAAACAACTGGAGCACCACTTGAACACCATCATCGGCATTGACAAATTCGCCATTAGTCAATTGCAAAAGGCGGCCTTACTAGGAACACGCTGCCCTCAGAGGTGTTCCTCCCATCCCAAAGACACGGTGCACCCTCTTTTCCAGCAGATTCAGACATTAATTGGAGAAGACAGCCGTTTAGAGAGGGCAGCCTGGAATACGTACCTTCTTGGCAAGATGTTGGACACCACCAGTACCCTGTAAACCGATCAAATTCTTCTTGGATGACAAAAGTGGCCACACCGGCTGACTTGGGGTCATCGAGCACACTGGATAAACCTGGAAAAAAAATGGTGACGCTCTTTATATCAAGTGTCTTAAAAACCCTCAGTTAATCTACCTAATATGAATAGAATCGAATCTAGAATAGAATAGAATAGAATCTTTATATAGAATAGAATAGAATAGAATAGAATACAGAGTTGGAAGGGATCTTGGAGGTCTTCTAGTCCAGCCCCCTGCTCAAGGAGGAGAACCTACACCGTCTCAGACAGGTGAATGTCTAGCCTCTTTTTAAAAACCTCCAGTGATTGAGCGCCCACGATTTCTGGTGGCAAGCTGTTCCACTGGTTGATTGTCCTCACTGTCAAGAAGTTTCTCCTTAATTCCAGGTTGCTTCTCTCTTTGATCAGCTTCCAACCATTGTTTCTCGTCCTTCCCTCTGGTGCTCTGGTGAACAGTCTGACCCCCTCTGCCTTGTGGCAGCCCCTCGGATAGTGGAATAACTGCTATCATGTCTCCCCCATTTCTTCTTTTCTTCAGACTGGCCCAGGGTTAGGCAACCTTGGCCCTTTTAAGATTCGTGGACTTCAGCTCCCAGAATTCCTGAGCCAGCCATGCTGAGGGGAAAGGGAGAGGTTTCCAAGCTGAGCCATGCTGGCTCAGGAATTCTGGGAGTTGAAGTCCACCAGTCATAAAAGAGCCAAACTATTCTATTCTATATTCTATATTCTATATTCTATATTCTATATTCTATATTCTATTCTATTCCAGTGGTGGCAAACCTATGGCACGCGTGCCAGAGGCGGCACTCAGAGCCCTCTCTGTGGGCATGCGCGCCATGCCCCAAAGATGGCAATCGTCCCTCTTCAACCAGCCACCCGCTAACCTGCCGAGGTCCCACGTGGTCTGATGCATCCCAGCACCCATGCGCTCGCTGGCCTCTGTGTGCAGGGGCCGATGGTGTCAGGCAGCAGCCGCCCCGGCCCCTGCCTCACCTTGCCCTGTGACAATGGCACCCCTGCCCTGCTTCGCCTCGCCTCTCCCTGCAGGACGAGCCTCCTGCCCACCGCCCCACCTGCCAGAGACCCCCTGGACCTCCCCCAACCCTGCCCGGCCCCCACAGGCGTCCCTCCCCACGAGCAACATTGAGGTGATCACGCCCACCTTGGCCACATCCACCCAGTCTGCCATGACCACCACGGCCACGCCCATCCAGTGGGCCACGCCCACCTGGCACCCGGCGATAAATACGTGGGTTTTGGGTTGCAGTTTGGGCACTCGGTCTCTAAAAGGTTCGCCATCACTGTAATCCAGTGGTTCTCAACCTTTTTAATGCCGCGACCCCAACCGGTCGTAAGTCGAGGACTAAACCGGTCGTAAGTCGAGGACTAAACCGGTCGTAAGTCGAGGACTAAACCAGTCGTAAGTCGAGGACTACCCAACCGATCGTAAGTCGAGGACTTTCCCTGCCCGGGAGCGCCGTGCATGCGTGGTTCCGCCCCCTGCGCCGGCCGAGGCGTAGCTGGCAAGCGGCAGAGACGGAGCAGGCCGACCACCAGCTGGCCCAGCCCAAGGGAGGTAAGGCACCCGCCGGAAAAGGGGGAAAAAATGGTGAACAAAAAAAATGGCAGACAGCCTTGCTTGGCGACCCCCATGAAATGGTCGATCGACCCCAAATGGGGTCCCGACCCACAGGCTGAGAACCACTGCTGTAATCTATTCTATATTCTATTCTATATTCTATTCTGTGATTCTTTTTCTATTCTATTCCATTCCGTTATAAACTGTTGTTAGCCACCCAGAGTTATCTATGGATGGATATACCATTTTCTAAATAAACAAAACGGTCCCCGGAAGGGCACAGAGAAACAGGCGCCATCCGGCACGAACTATTTTGTGCCTCCACCCGCTGAAACAAAACCCGCCGTTGCCTTCCGTGCGGGGAAACGCCCGAGCCGAGGCGGCGTACCTTTCTGGCAGAAGGTCAGGCGTCGTTCTTCCCCCGTCTCGATGTTGGCCACCCACAGGTCATTGCTGTTGATGAACGAGAAGAAGGAAGGGTCCGCTGAGCAGATTTTGGGGTCCATCCTGGGGCCCGAGCATTGCGTCTGGATTTCCAGCGGCTTCATAGGAGAGACCTGGAGCCGAAGGAATTGCCTTTGAATTAACCATTTACAGGTGCTCCTCGAGTTACAACCGTTCGTTTAACGACAGTGAAGTTTCAAAAAAAGTGAGTTACGACCGGTCCTTGCATTTGCAACCGTTAGGGCAGCCCCACGGTCACGTGATCAGAATCGGGGCACTTTTCAACAAGGTCTCCCACAATTGGAGCATTGGGGGGAGGCGTAGGTCACGTGACCGCCCACTGCGATCTTCCCAGCGGGCTTCCGACTAGCAAAGTGAATGGGGGACTTGTGTCGACGCTGCAAATACTGTATATTCTTGCTTTGACAATATGCAGAACTGTCTGGTATTTTTATAGTTAAATCAGGGGGAAAAAGAAACCGGAAGTAAATCACATCTTCCAAGTTAATTGGAAGATGTGAACCATGACCCCAAAATAGGGGCGGAAAAAAATGCTTAGAATGTATGTGTAACGGAAAAGAATCCAGATCTAAGCATTTCCACCATGCCGTACTGACCTCTCTGTAACCTTAATAAATGCTTTTAGGAAAAAAATATGCCTGAAAGTTCTTTTAAGTGTTTCGTTAATCAGACACATGACAACTTGCTTAACAACTAATCTATTGATAAATGTAATAAATATGTTTTTACTTAGCTGTTATAATAAAAAACTATTAGCTTAAATATGAGATAGCAGACATCAAGAGAAAAAAACAGAGGAAGTATTTAATGTTGAAATAAAGAGAAATGTTGGTTACTAAATTTAAGACATTCGGAAATTAATAGAAAATTAACAAGAAGGTTATACTGTATTATTTATTAGTTGATGTAAGATGGCGAGAAATAGAATATACTCAAATAGATAAGACGTGTATCCTGAACATTAGATCTTGTGATGAATTGTGATAAAGGGAACTGGGGTTATTTAAAACTTGGAAATTATAAATATTAAATGTTAAATCTAAATATTAATGGGAAACTAAAAATGGGGAAAAACTAATTAGGACATTGATTGTCTACAAAGACTGAATGTTAAAATAACCAGGATATGTATACGCTAAAAATTATTGATAAATGTAAGAAAGTTATTTTTATTTAATTGATATAATAAGAATTGTATTAGTTTAAACATGAGACAGTAAATACTAAGGGGAAAAGAGAGGAAATATTTAATGTAGTACTTTGAGACTTGTACTAAAGATACTTGTATGTTATTGAATGATCGATTAACTCAGCCGCCACATGGCTTTTTAAATATTTAAATGTAAAATTAGAAAAATCAATAAAACTTTTTAAAATAAAAAAAAACACTAAGGGCAGTCCTTAACTTACAACCACAACTGAGCCCAAAATTTCTGCTGCTAAGTGAGACATATTTCTTAAATGAATTTTGCCCCATTTTACGATCTTTCCTCCGACGGGTGTTAAGTGAATCACTGCAGTTCTTTCGTAACACAGTTGTTAAGTGAGTCACTGCTGTTGTGAAGCCAGCAAGCCAGTCGTTAAGTGAGTCTGGCTTCCCCCGTTGATTCTGCTTGTCAGGTCGCAAAAGGGGATCATGTGACCCCCCCGGGGACGCTGTGACCGTCGTAAATAGGAACCAATTTCCAAGCATCCCAGGTTTTATCACGTGACCGCGGGGAGGCTGCAACGGTCGTTAAGTGTGAAAAAACGATCATGAGTCACTTTCCTCAGTGCTGCTGCAACTTCAAGCAGTCACTAAATCAGGGGTAGGCAACCTTGGCTCTTTTATGACTCGTGGACTTCAACTCCCAGAATTCCTGAGCCAGCGTGACTCAGCTTGGAAACCTCTCCCTTTCCCCTCAGCATGGCCAGCTCAGGAATTCTGGGAGTTGAAGTCCGTGAGTCATGAAGGGGCCATAGTTCCCCCATGCTGGCTGAGGAATTCTGGGAGTTGAAGTCCACCAGTCATGAAGGGGCCAAGGTTGCCTACCCCTATCCTAGGATGAAGATTAAGAGCAGGGATCTTCAACCTTGGCTCTTTTATGACTCGTAGACTTCAACTCCCAGAATTCCTGAGCCAGCATGGCTCAGCTTGGAAACCTCTCCCTTTCCCCTCAGCATGGCCAGCTCAGGAATTCTGGGAGTTGAAGTCCGTGAGTCATGAAGGGGCCGTAGTTCCCCCATGCTGGCTGAGGAATTCTGGGAGTTGAAGTCCACCAGTCATGAAGGGGCCATAGTTCCCCCATGCTGGCCGAGGAATTCTGGGAGTTGAAGTCCGCGAGTCATGAAGGGGCCGTAGTTCCCCCATGCTGGCTGAGGAATTCTGGGAGTTGATGCCCACAAGTCACGAAGGGGCCATAGTTTCCCCATGCTGGCTGAGGAATTCTGGGAGTTGAAGTCCACCAGTCATGAAGGGGCCAAGGTTGCCTACCCCTATCCTAGGATGAAGATTAAGAGCAGGGATCTTCAACCTTGGCTCTTTTATGACTCGTAGACTTCAACTCCCAGAATTCCTGAGCCAGCATGGCTCAGCATGGAAACCTCTCCCTTTCCCCTCAGCGTGGCTGGCTCAGGAATTCTGGGAGTTGAAGTCCACGAGTCACAAAAGAGCCAATGTTGCCTAGCCCTGCACTAAATGAACTGTCGGAAGTTCAAAGTTACAAGGGCACTGAAAAAAGGTGATTTATGACCGTTTTTCACACTTATGACCCTTGCAGCATCCCCCATGGTCATGTGAGGAACTGACTCATATTTATGAGAGTTAACAGTGTCCCAGGGTCACGAGATGCCCTTTTTACGACCTTCTGACAAGCAAAGTCAAGGGGAGAAGACAGAGTCACTTCACAACCGGGTTACTAACAACTGCAGTGATTCCCTTAACAACCGTGACAAGAAAATGTCATAAAACGGGGCATAACTCACGTAACCAATGTCTCACCTAGCGACCTAAATTGGGGGGCGGCCATTCCTACCTATTTTGAGCACGAATGCCTCACTTAGCAACCTAAATTTGGGGGTCGCGTTCATTCCTACCTATTTCGAGCACAAATGCTTCACTTAGCGACCTAAATCTGGGGGCTGTGTTTATTCCTATCTATTTCGAGCACAAATGCCTCACTTAGCAACCTAAATTTGGGGGTAGCGTTTATTCCTACCTATTTCGAGCACAAATGCCTCACTTAGCGACCTAAATTTGGGGGCAGCGTTTATTCCTACCTATTTCGAGCACAAGTGCCTCACTTAGCGACCTAAATTTGGGGACCGCGTTTATTCCTACCTATTTCGAGCACAAATGCCTCACTTAGCGACCTAAATTTGGGGGCAGCGTTTATTCCTACCTATTTCGAGCACAAATGTCTCACTTAGCGACCTAAATCTGGGGGCTGCGTTTATTCCCTATTTCGAGCACAAATGTCTCACTTAGCGACCTAAATCTGGGGGCGGTGTTTATTCCTGCTTCTTTCCGAGCACAACCTCTATCACGGAGGCCCAAAAAAAGGCACCTGTCACTCAAGGACCGCAAGGAAGGGAACCGGCGGTGAGAAACTCACCATAAAGCCATTTTTGCCTCCATCCTGACAGTAGAAGAGGCTGTTGCTGGCCTGGAAGAGGAAGAGGCCGCTCTCCCGGTGGAAGTCGTAGGAGGTGATCCCGAAGACGCCCAGCCGCTTGCGTTCCCTCAGCAGCTCCTCCTCCCTGGAGTACATCCCGTGGTGCGGGGTCGCCTGGGAGGGAGGGAGGGGGGGAAGAACCGGTGGGATGAAGGAGCTGAGCCCTGGTGTGGATCCAGAAGCCCCCCCAAGAGATAAATGTGTTTCTTTTCAAATAAAGGAAAATACAGGTTGTCCTCGCTTAACGACAGTTCTGTTTAGTGACCGTTCCAAGTTGTTGCCTGGGTGGGAGGGAAAGAACTGGTGGAATGAAGGAACAGAGCGCTGGTGCAGATTCACAGCCCCCCCAAAGAGATAAATGTGTTTCTTTTCAAATAAAGGAAAATACAGGCTGTCCTCGCTTAACGACGGTCCTGTTTAGTGACCGCTCCAAGTTGTTGCCTGGGCGGGAGGGAAAGAACTGGTGGAATGAAGGAACAGAGCGCTGGTGCGGATTCAGAGCCCCCCCCCAAGAGATAAATGTGTTTCTTTTCAAATAAAGAAAAATGCAGGCTGTCCTCGCTTAACGATGGTCCTCTTTAGTGACCGTTCCAAATTGTTGCCTGGGTGGGAGGGAAAGAACTGGTGGAATGAAGGAATGGAGCGCTGGTGCGGATTCAGAATCCCCCCCCCGACAAATGTGTTTCTTTTCAAATATAGGACAACACAGGTGGTCTTCACTTAACGACGGTCCTGTTTAGTGACCGTTCCAAGTGGCTGCCTAGGCGGGAGGGAAAGAATCATTGGGATGAAGGAACAGACCACCAGTGTGAATTCAGACAGGTCCAAGCAATAGATGCATTTCCCTTTAAATAAAAGACAAGGCAGGCAGTTTTCACTTAACGACGGTTCTTTTTAGCGACCGTTCCAAGTTATTGTCTGGGCAAGATGGGAAAGAATCAGTGGGGTGAAAGAACGTGAATTTAGGGTGCATCCCCCCAAAAAATGAATGCATTTTTCCTTTAAGGACCATAAGGATTAGTCCTCACTTAACAACGGTCCTGTTTAGCGACCATTCAAAGCTACAACGGTGCTACAAAAGTAATTTTGTGGCTGATTCTCACACTTAAACCACCCTCCTGTGATCGAGATTCAGGCGCTTCGCATCTCGCGGGCATTTCCCGCGGTTGAAATTTCCCACGGTCACATGACCTCCCCTTGGCAGGCTTGATAAGCAGCTTCTGCTAAGCAGATTCAGTAAACTAGATGTTTCGCTTAACGTCCAAGAGAAAAAGTGACATCGTCACATTTGCTACAGTCGTGGGATGCCTTGTTGAATGACCATGTTGCCTCCAGAAGCTGTGAATGCTCCAACACCGGAAGTTTTTAAGAAGAGACTGGACAGCCATTTGTCCGAAATGGTATAGGGTTTCCTGCCTGAGCAGGGGGTTGGACTAGATGACCTCCAAGGTCCCTTCCAACTTTTTTTATTATTATTATTAGCAACAGAGTTGGGGATCCCAACAGTGGTCGTTATGCGAGGACTGCCTGGGTCCGATTCCAGATTTAGGCCGAAACACCCGAGGGCCACGGGGTGTGTGTGTGTGTGTGTGTGTGTGTGTGTGTGTGTGTAACGACAGATGTTCTCACCTGGAAATGATCCAGCATTTGCTTCCACGACAACAGCAGGAGGGCTTCCTTCCGTACCTTTTTGGGAATCTCCGAGTACAGGAGAGAATTTTCCCGGCTTCCGTATGGCATTCCTAAATGAGGAAGGTCAGAACAATAGGAAAAAAAAAGCCTTTTATTTAAACTCCACGGATTAGAAGCTCTTTGTAAGTTTAAACACGGTAGTTTTTCTTTTTTAAAATTCTCTTGACCAAACAGACACACACAATCAGCACTGGTGACATTACCTAGTTTGAGTAAAGGGACGCCTGCAAGAGAACAAGCCAGCTGAGAGAGCAGCCAGGACCCCACTGTCTCCCCCTACTTTCTCTTCCTCCTCCTCCTCTCCACAAACCCCACTCCCTACTAGCACTGATTGCACTACCCAGCTTAGGTAATGAAACGTCTGCAAGAAAACACGCAAGCTGAGGGTGCACTTGAGAGACACAATCTGCAGAGCTTGGTGTTGTAGTCCTGCTTTAGGCATGAAAGCCGACTGAGTGACAAGGTGACTTTGGGCCAGTCACCAGGAGACGGGGAGTTCTAGTCCCGCCTTAGACACTGAAGCTGCCTGGGTGACTTTTGACTTTGACAGTGTGTTCTAGTCCCGCCTTAGGCACGAAAGGTGACTTTGGGCCAATCACCAGGAGACGCTGAGTTCTAGTCCCGCCATAGGCACGAAAGCGACTTACATAACTTTGAGCCAATCACCAGGAGACGGTGAGTTCTAGTCCCGCCTTAGGCACGAAAGCCAGCTGGGTGACTTTGGGCCAATCACCAGGAGACGGTGAGTTCTAGTCCCGCCTTAGGCACGAAAGCCAGCTGGGTGACTTTGGGCCAATCACCAGGAGATGGTGAGTTCTAGTCCCGCCTTAGGCACGAAAGCCAGCTGGGTGACTTTGGGCCATCCCTCTCACTTAGCCCAACCAACATCGCAAGGTTGTTGTTGTGGGGAAAGAGGAGGGAAAGGAAGATGGGTTGCTAAGCTCAACACCCTGAGTTATTTGTAAGAATGATAAAGGCGGGAAATGAATGAATGAATGAATGAATGAACAGGCTGAAAACAGACAAGAGATTGTAACTGGCAGCCTAATGGGCCTAGAATACACAACACACACACAAAATATGCAGATGATACCACTCTAATGGCAGAAAGTGAAGAGGAACTAAAGAGCCTCTTGATGCGGGTGAAGGAGAGTGCAAAAGTTGGCTTGAAACTCAACATTAAGAAAACCAAGATCATGGCATCTGGCCCTCTCAATTCCTGGCAAATAGATGGGGAAGAAATGGAGGTAGTGAAATGGAGGAAGATTTTATCTTCCTGGGCTCCAAGATCACCGCAGATGGGGACTGCAGCCAAGAAATTAGGGGAGGAAAGCTATGGCAAATCTAGACAGCATACTAAAAAGCAGAGACATCACCCTGCCAACAAAAGTGCATATAGTCAAGGCCATGGTTTCCCCAGTTGCAATGTATGGCTTTGAAAGTTGGACTGTAAGAAAGGCTGAGCGCCAAAGAATGGAGGCCTTTGAACTCTGGTGCTGGAGAAGACTCCTGCGAGTCCCCTGGACTGCAAGGCGATCCAACCGGTCAGTCCTAGAGGAGATCAACCCCGACTGCTCTTTAGAAGGCCAGATCCTGAAGTTGAAACTCAAGTCCTTTGGCCACCTAATGAGAAGGAAGGACTCACTGGAGAAGGGCCTGATGCTGGGAAAGATGGAGGGCAATAGAAGAAGGGGATGACAGAGAACGAGGTGGCTGGATGGAGTCCCTGAAGCAGTAGGCGTGAGCTTCAATGGACTCCAGAAGATGGCAGAGGACAGGAAGGCCTGGAGGAACGTTGTCCATGGGGTCGCGAGGGGTCGGACACGACTTTCCAACTAACAACATCATCCCAGGTCCTTGGGAAGGACTTGATAGATGGATAAAAATGCCAAATTTGAAAGTCTGAACATCTGGCAGGCTGTGCGATCAACCCTAATCGCATCTTTTTGGTAGCTTCTAAAGGTTGCCAACCGAGGTGAGGTCGTACCTAGGTAATACAGCCGATGGGAATGAGGGCTTGACTCTTCTGTTTTACGGACAAACTGGAAGTCGTGGGGGGCCTTATTCACGATCATTCCCGTGTACTTCCGGCTGCCGTGAATAATGTCACGCAGCCCCTCCCACGAGTGTTTCTCCACCTGGAACTGGGATGTGGAGGCGTCCTCCATCTCGACTGCCTCGGCGCTGTCAGGCAGAGCGTCCACCGCTGTCATCTTCCGCCTCCCTCCGGAACTGGTCAAGGAACTAGGAGAAAAAGAGGAGGGAAAAAGAAAAAAAGAAATGAGAGAGGACAGGAAGGATAAGAGAGGAACGGGAGAGTCTGTGTTTATATATCTTTAGTTATATAAGACAGGGCTTTTCAACCTTTTCATTCATTGTACCACTTTTAGGATATGGCAATATCCGAGTACCACCAGTCGCCTAGCAAAGTGTCAAAAATTTGATGACCCCCCCCCAAAAAAGGGATATACAGGTTGTCCTCAACTTACAACAGTCGCTTAGTGACTGTTCGAAGTTACAATGGCACTGAAAAAATGCCCCCCAAGCCACAGCCGAGCAAGACACCTGCCTGCCCACCCAGTGGCGCTCTTCCTCCTGTCCGAGGTTTCCATTGTTGTGAGCATTTCTGTTGAGGATTGGCAGCGGGGGTGGGGTGGGTGTTTGGTTTTTATTCCCCCCGTCTGCTGGGTGGTTGCAGCAGGTTTTGGTCACTTCATATGACCCTGGGACACTGTGACCGTCATAAATATGAATCAGGTGCCAAGCATCTGAATGTAAATCACAAGACCCTGGAGATGCTGCAACATTCCAGCTGATCGGCACTTCTTCTGGGCTCAGCAGAAGCACCAGGATCAGCGCCGAGCTCCAGCTGGAGCCCGGTGCTGATCCTGGCGCTTCCGCTGAGCCCTGACAGCCCTGCAGCTCCAGCCGTCTCTCGCTCAGGCTTGTGCGGTGCTGCCACCGGTTCAGCTCATTCCCCTCCCCTGCTACCACTTTTCTAGGATGGTCGCGTACCACCTGCCAGGTGCCAATGTACCACAGATGGTACCCGTACCACTGGTTGAAAAGCCCTGATATAAGATAACCTTTGTCGTCATTTTTTACTGTGGGCACAATGGCACACATCAAAAATGAAATTTAGTTGCCCGCTCTCAAAGTGAACACATACATGACACACACCTAAACATACTATATACAACATATGTATAGTTCTACACCCCTACATATACGTAGCAAATAAATATTAAACGCTGTCCATCTTGAATATATAACGGAAGGAGGAAGCTTGAGAGTTCACAAGGTTAATGCTGTATGGAACGAAACTCTGGCTGAATCTGGATGTTCTGTTACGGATACCACAAAGCCCCCTCCTCCCAGAAGGGAACAAGGAAAACAGGTCATGAAGAGGGTGTGTAGTGTCCCAGATAATCTTACGGACCCTGCTCAAGCAACGGTTCTGTGCCATGTCCTGGATGGGAGGGAGGGAACTGCCAATGATCTTTTCAGCTGTCCTCACCACTCTCTGCACCGCCTGTCTGAAGCAGTGATGCTTCCAAACCAGACTGTGATGCCATATGACAGGATGCTCTCCATCGTCCCTCTGCATAAAGTGGTCAGGACAGGGGAAGGAAGATGTGCTTTTCTCATGCGACGCAGAAAATGCAGGCGCTGCTGTGCCCGCTTCACCGGGGTCTCGCTGTTGAGCGACCAAGCCAGCCTACTCGTGAGCTGCACACCCAGGAATTTGATGCTGGTAACCATCTCCACAGGGGAATCATTGATGCACAGAGATGTGTGGCTGTGGCTGCTTTTTCTGAAATCGACAATCATCTCTTTCCGGTATTTAAAACTAGGCTGTTTTCCTTACACCAGTTCACCAACCCCTCAACCTCCTTGCGGTAAGCTTCCACCTTGCCATCATGAAAATAAGACCCACTACTGTTTGTATCATCTGCGAACTTCACAATATGGTTGGTGGCAAACCTAGCTCAACAGTCATGGGTCAACAGTTAAGGCCACACCTGGAATACTGCATCCAGGTTTTGGTCACCGCATTACCAAAAAGAGGTTGAGATTTTGGAAAAAGTGCAGAGAGGGACAACCAGGAGGATCAAAGGCCGGGAGACTAAAACATATGAAGAACGGTTGTAGGATTTGGGAATGGCTAGTCTAGAGAAAGGAAGGACCAGGAGGGGGACATGATAGCAGTATTCCAGTATTTGAGGGGCTGCCAGAAAGAAGAGGGAGTCAGGCTATTCTCCAAAGCACCTGAAGGCAGGAGAAGAAGCAACGGATGGAAACTAATCAAGGAGAGAAGCAACCTGGAACTAAGGAGAAACTTCCTAACAGTGAGGACAATTAACCCAGTGGAACCACCTGCCTCCAGAAGTGGTGAATGCTCCAACACTGGACGTTTTTAAGAAGAGACTGGACAGCCATTTGTCTGAAATGGTATAGGGTTTCCTGCCTGAGCAGGGGGTTGGACTAGAAGACCTCCAAGGTCCCTTCCAGCTCTATTCTGATTGATTGCCTCTTTGGGATTTAGGCTTCTGCTCCTTGACTGCACCCATTGTCAATACAGGTAGTCCTCGACTTATGACCGTAATGGAGCCTGCCCATTAGGTAGCAGTCTTAAAGTGGTCATCCCACAATTGGCCCCGTTTTATTATTTTTCCCTTGCAGCAAGTGCTACCGTCATTAAACAAACCCAGGAATGCTGAGTGCCGTTGCAACTTTAAACGGTCACTAAAAGAATGGTTGTTAAGTTGAGGGCTTCCTGCATAGCTAAACTATATTATCACAACTGCAGCGTTACATATAGGAACAGATATTCCCACTATCTCAGCTGCACAAATTTAAAAAAACAAACAAACCCACAACTCTGCGAGACCAATCCTAAGAAAGGAGAGAATTCAAACGACTCCTTTGGGTCACAAGGGCCACTGTGAATGTATTTATTAACGATCTTTGCATTCTAATTACCCACCACTAACCACTTTAACCCAGTTCATAACTGCATAAAACTAAAAAAGACAACTTGAACAGTTAACCAGAATGAAAATCAAGATCACGTGATGTATTAGTACCGTTTTATAAAACCCCTAGTAAGACCACACCTGGAATACTGCAGCCAATTTTGATCACCGTATCACAAAAAAAGATGCTGAGAGTTTGGGAAAAAAATTCAGAGAAGAGCAACTAAGACGACCAAAGGCCTGGAGACTAAAACATACGAAGAACAGCTGCAGGACTTGGGTTTGAGACCGTATAGGTTCTCCTGCTTGAGCAGGGGGCTGGACTAGAAGACCTCCAAGGTCCCTTCAAGCTCTACTCTACTCTACTCTGTTCTATGATGAAAACAAGGGCAGCCTAAAATCAATCAATCAATCAATCAAAGCATTGCTCAACGAAGGCTTAACGTTAACGGTTGCTGTGGAGAAATTCGAGCCTTGTGCCTCACGGAGGTGAGTTTATACGAAGTATAAAATCATAAATGCTAAAATACGTCAAGAAAATAGTGTTTTCCACCCCCATAAGATCACCAGCCCTGTTTGTAAGTCGAGGACTGGTTATATGTTGCCACGCTACCCGAAGGCAACAGCTCAAAGAAAGTGGATGCGCTCAGTGGAACTACTCTGAGTGGAGACGGGCCTGAGGTGGTCTAATGCAGGGCTTTTCAACCTTTTCACCCATTGTACCACTTTTAGGATATGGCAATATCCGAGTACCACCAGTCGCCTACCAAGGTGTCAAAAACTTGATGACCCCCCCAAAAAAGGGAAAAAAGTGATAAAGTACAGGTAGTCCTCGACTTACAACAGTTCGCTTAGTGACTGTTTGAAGTTACAATGGCACTGAAAAAAGTGCCCCCCAAGCCACAGCCGAGCAAGACACCTGCCTGCCCACCCGGCCGCACTCTTCCTCCTGTCCGAGGTTTTCATTGTTGTGAGCATTTCTGTTGAGGATTGGCAGCGGGGNTGATCCTGGCGCTTCCGCTGAGCCCTGACAGCCCCAAAGAAGCGCCGATCAGCTGGAGCCTGGCGCTGATCCTGGCGCTTCCGCTGAGCCCTGACAGCCCTGCAGCTCCAGCCGTCTCTCGCTCAGGCTTGTGTGGTGCTGCCACCGGTTCAGCTCGTTCCCCTCCCCTGCTACCACTTTTCTAGGATGGTCGTGTACCACCTGCCAGGTGCCAATGTACCATAGGTGGTACCCGTACCACTGGTTGCAAAGCTCTGGTCTAACCCATCCACCTCCAACTTTTGACTTTTCCAGAACATCCAAAAGAATTCCAAGGAATGTTCCAAAGACAGGAGGGGGGGAAAAGCACTTTCCAATTTGGGTAAGAAAAGCTGTGCCCATTGTCCAGCAAGGGTCATCAAAGCAGCTGACAAGACACCTTTTGAGTATTGCTTGGGAAACTCAACGAAACATCTCCAAAGCCTTCTCAGAACTCACAGCGATGATGTTGTCTAGTTTGGGCCATGAAGCGTCGACGTGAAAACAACCGAGTTAAGGCAGCACCAAGGACCCTGTCTGGAAAAGGTCTTAAAAAACAACAATCATCCTCCCAAACAACTGTGCAAAAAACGATCTCGGGACTGATTTGGCCTATCTCTCCTCTTGAGAAAAAAATCCAAACAAATTCTGATGCAACCTTCTGCAGCCAATCCCTGAGATTGTCTTCCAAGGTGAGGCTGTGGCTGTGTTCAAACACCATGATTGTGTGTCTCTGTCTCAAGGCCAAATAAGAGGGGGGGATTTCTCCCCCCCATTATTTGTGCACTCCCATACCGAGGGATACGGCAATCGCCCAGCTATGAAGGATCCCTTAGGGCTGTCATTCGGAATGGAAGTGAATCGACGATACCCAAACGATGCTGAGACACTGAAAGGGGTGCGGAGAAGAGCAAGGAAGTTGATAGAGGGACTGGAGGCCAAATCATACGATGAACAGTTGAGGAAGTTAAGGTATGTGTAGTAGTAGTAGTAGTAGTCGTAGTAGTCGTAGTAATGACAAATTCGCCATTAGTCAATTGCAAAAGGCGGCCTTACTAGGAACCGCTTCCATCCTGTGATGAGATCTGTAATACCATCAAAACATCCACATCTGCCTATCCCAGGTCCTTGGGAAGGACTCGATAGGTAGACAAAAATGCCAAATCCAGTCTGAACATCTGGCTGACTGTGTGATGATCAATAATAATAATAATCGATAAG